TATATATAAAATAATAATGTTGAGAAAAATTGCCAAATGACACTATGTAATAGACATATGGCATTTAAATAATGCCATAATAGTCTAAGTTGAAAATACATAATTCTATGATTTATTTGGCATAGGTGATACATCAATATGTAAGAATGATGCAATAAACAATAACTACCCATTGATATTCCAAAATTATAAATAACTTATTCAAACTCACTGGTAATTATGCATTCTCATACATAAATTATTCACTTATATTCTGCAGCAAGCTTTTCTAATCAAAATACTCATTAATGTAGTCTAATTAAGAGAAAAAAATCTATGGGACAAATATGATGAAAAGAAATAAACATTGCCATATCCATTTATCAATTAATCTGCAGAAGTCTTAGGCTTCCAATGACATATCTTCCATGGAAGTAATATGCATGTTCCATGTATTAGGTAAAAGTTTTTTTTCCTTATTCAATAACATAGTAAGATTTCGAATCACTTCCACTCAGTTACATTAATATGACATCACTGCATTCAACCTTGTTACCGCAAAAGAATATATCACATTAAAGAAAATAATTTACCTTTCTTTCTTTTTTTGATTAATGCATGACAAGCAGAGAATAGGGTATTTTGAATTGATTTCAGGAAGGCGACATAAAATGTACAAAATTCATACAACAAAGTTCAAGTAGAAATAGAGTGAATGAAATTCATTTCAAATGACATGTTTTAAAATACTTTCAGACACTAAATGTACGAGAATGTTCACTATGTTGTTTTCAAAGTACTAAGCATTTTGACATATTTGAAATATTAACATAACTATTAATAATAAACTGCTAATAATTTAAAAATTACGCCACATTAAAATAATGAAAAACCTTTATTTTAAAATATGTTTTAACTTTATATATTGATTCAGAGCAACATATGCTCACTTGATTAGGTCTAGAATACTAGATCCGGTGGGCTGGAGCATTAGCACAGCGGGTAGGGCCTTTGCCTTTCACGCAGCCGACCCAGGTTCTATTCCCAGCATCCCAAATGGTCCCCTGAACACTGCCAGGAACAATTCCTGAGTGCAGATCCAGGAGTAAACCCTGTGAATTGTGTGACCCAAAAAGACAGAAAAAAAATAGAACATAGATCTGGAATCATGATCAATGTGGTCAAACAGCTCCTGATCTTTCCTGTATGTCTCCATGATACATTAAGTTAAATATTTCTTAGACAAAGGGAATTCAAATTTAAAGACTGGACAGAAAGATAATGTCTCAAAAACAGAGTAACAAATGTTATTAGACAGAAAAATCATAAAATGCAATAAAAATAATAGCAATAAATTTTCATAGTAAAGGTTAATAAAAAATTAATTTGTGTTTGTTATCACTTAAAACATACTCTAGTTGGGGCTGGAGAGATAGCACAGCGGGTAGGGTGTTTGCCTTGCATGCGGCCGACTCGGGTTTGATTCCCAGCATCCCATATGGTCCCCTGAGCACCACCAGGAGTAACTCCTGAGTGCAGAGCCAGGAGTAACCCCTGTGCATTGCCAGGTGTGACCCAAAAAGCAAAAAAAAAAAAAATACTCTAGTTGTCCATAAATTTAATTAAATTCAAAGTTTGTGTAAGGAAGACACTAACCTGTTTCTATAACGAGTAGAAGAGTCATCATTAAATTCATAATCAAAAATGTTTAATAGCTAAAGTCAATCTTTCGAAGATTTATTAGTAAATGACAGTATTGGAAGAAACAGCTTAACATTTACTATATTGCCTCACTAACCTTAAAAGAAAAAAATTTAAGAGATAAGAATGGTTACTTTATTAAATAGAATTTTATTGTAAGCCCTCTAAGATGAACAGAGATATTTTACAAAATGATAGACATAGTACATCACAGAAATAATTATTTGCATTATAACACCATTTGAGGAAAGTTTTATTTTCCTTGGATCTTTTCTCCAAAACACACATTCTAGCATTTAGGAGATAGACATGTATCATTTGACCTTTAAACTTCTATTTCATTAATGTAACTACAAGCAACAGAGTCGGTGACTGACACGTTTGCACTTTCAGGCCTTTAGCACTTAAAGTTATTTGATAACTGTTATGCCACTACTTATTTTTCATTGGCGACATGTTTGAGGAATGTATTACATTAAAATATAGTGTGTAATGTTTAGTAAATAATATCATGTAATTCAGCAAAGTGTTGTCTTGAACATGAAAATTCTGTCCTCTGGTGGGAGGACATATTTGAGGATACATTTGAGGGTATATTTGCTTTGTTTTCTGTTTAGTAATGAAGTAGAGAAAAACATCAAGTTATGATTCTATGTATCCAAGGTAAAATGATATAAAATAACCAACACTACCTTTATTGAAATATATATCACCTGACTTATACACAAGACCTTAAGTCCTCTCTGCACAGATCTAATACACAGAGCAAATATCAGTTGCAAGAGAAAATTTAAAGATATGATAATATTTGATACCACTAACCAGTTTTCAACAATCTTTCTTATAAACACATATGCTAACATAGTTTAAAAAGTAAGAGTCATGGAAAAGGGTCAAAATGGGATACTCCCAAGAGAATTACTGATAAAGTACATCACACCAGATAAAAGAAATGCAGATCAAATTTAGTTTTACATTGCAAAAGATTATTGTATGTAATTCTTTCATTATTTACTGTATATAGTCAGAAGCATTTAAAGAGAAAATCTATTCTCATCTTAAGTGAGGTAAGTGTTTAAAAGTCAAAAGTTCCTAATGTAAACTATCACAAAAGCTCAGGATTTAACATAAAAATAAATGAAATACTGTGCTTAAACCTAAATAAGAGCTGTATCAAACTAACAGCACTGGGATAAAGCTATCTAGTAGAAATGCATTACCCCTAGAAGCAATGCATGAACTAGACATATGTCTCTGAGAAGTAGATCATGGGTCTAGTAATTATGATTAGCCATAATATTTAATAAATTCATTAAAAGGACAAAATAAACCATTAAAAACTGTAAATTGAATGTAATAAAAGATTGTTACAAACATAGGTTGCAGTTCTGTATGTTGGTGACCTCTGAAAATAGAGTTTTGTCCTCAACCACTGTTTTTCAAACTTTTGAAGCAAACTTAACACAAACAACATAAATATGGGTCTTATATATGTTTTATTCCACATGACAATAGTTTTTAACCAGGAATGGAAGGCATTTTACTAGCTTATAACGAAGTAGTTGTTCTTTTCTATGCATCTGGTGATACTTTGTTTCAGTAAAGATAGTATATAATGTATAAGTATGTCATTAGTGTAGTATTAAGAACTAAAACAACATTCCCCATAAATGTTTCATTCCCCAAGAGAATATTTCCAAAAGTGTAAATCATATACCACACCCGGATCCCAGATTGTTGAATTTAAAATACGTTGCATGATTCAAACAGAAACCTATCCCATTTCCTTTCACTTTAGATATTCCATGTTACACTGATTACGTGCAATCCACACTTAGAAGTCAACTACCACCCAGTGGAGAGAAAGAAGATCTTTCAGGAAGATTTGAGGTGTACATTGGGGTGGGGGGTGGGGAGTGCACAGGAAATGAAGGAATATGGGCGTTTAGTCTTGTTTAGAGAAAAGAAATATTGATCATCAACTTCTATGTTTCCAGAAGCTTACTCTCTGCAGTGTTCCTTGTGGGTGAGATCAGGCAATGAATTTACTGTTAATGACAATACATTTCAGTGCTCAAGCTTAGAGAAAAGATGGAAATGGGAAAAGGAAGTTAAACTGGACCTGGAAGAAGGAAAGCAGAGAACAGAAAAAGACAGAGGGAGGCAGAGAGAGGGGAAGAGTGGAGATGGAGAGGGGGGACGGTGGAGAGAGACAGAGAAAGAGAGACAGAGCGAAGAGACAGAGACCAGACTGTGTGTACACATGTGTGAGTGGCGGAGGCTTATGGAACAGTGAAGGAGTATGCGCCTTTTGAACAGTAAAAGAATCTGCATGTGAAAGTGGTTGTCGGAGCATGGAAGCGCCTGTGTGGGTGAGGATGTGAAACAGAGTGTGTGAGTGAGGGAGTGTGTTTAAGAAAAGAGAGAGATGTGTGAGGGTAGGAAAACCCTACTGGAAGGGGCGGGAGTGGGGGGGGGCAACATTCATGTGTATGTGACAAGGGAGTTATGGGAAAGGGGATCAGGAGATGGATGGCACATAAAAAGAGGGGGAACAAGATCACAGAATAGGGACAGGGATGGGGAAGTAAAAAGGGATGGGGACCAGTAAAAGGTAGAGGGGAACGGAGAGGGGTTTAGTAAGAGGCTTACAAACACTGAAGACAGAAAGGAGGGAAGAAGAGGAAAGGCGAAGAGAGAGGTAGAGAAACAGCAAAAGGCTGCAAAGAGGCAGTGGAGAGAGAAGGGCTGAAGAAGCAGGTGGAAAACACGCTGAAAAGAAAAAGAGGAGGGAGAGAAAGGAGAGAGCGGGCCGAGGGAAGAAAAGAAAGCCCAAGAGGGCCAGCTGGGGGCCCCGCGTGCAAGTGCGAGGGAAAATACCCAGGAGCAAGGGAGCCAGCAGTTGAAAAAAAGTCGCGGAGGCTCGAGGCACATTGCCACGAACCTGCGAAACTTGTCAGACTCTCCAAGAGACCCCCCCCCCCAGTCCTCCACCCCCCCGGCAACCCCCCGCATCGTCAAAGGAGACCTTGGGAACAGAGTTTCCAAGCGGTCCCCGGCCCCTGCCGACCCTCCCACTTCACTCGCGCCCCGGCCACTTGGCGAGCGAGCGGTCGGCCGCGGGCTCCAGCATCCCGAGTCTTGAACCGCCCGCGGGGGGCTCCGCGCTAGAACCCGCACCTGGCCGGGGGGCAAGACTCGGTCCTCGGAGGGGGCGCGCCCCCCGCGTCCTGGCAGGGCTTCCAGAGCTGGCAACCGGGCGCCAAGAGACAGACAGACAGACGGAGACGAGTAGGAACACAACACGCCGTTCCGCCTACCTAAGCACCGCCGTGTCCCCTTTCCGGACCAGCATGTTGTCCACGGACGCCCAGGGGAAGTCCACGCTCTGTCCAGCCGGGAGGCAGGAGGGCAGCAGGCAGCACAGGCTGAGCAGCACCGCCGCCAGCCACTGGTTCGAGCAACAAGCACCCTGCACCAACAGCATCATGTCCATCCCTGCTAGGGCTGCTCACTCTCCAGCAGCTCGCAGCTCGCACTTCCCCACCCCCTGGTGCTGGCGAGTCTTCCCGGGAACCAGGCGGCGCGCCACCGGATTTTTTTTTTCGGGGGTGGGGTGGGGGTGGGTGGGTTTCTTTTCTTTCTTTCCCCCCCTCTCTAGTTGTTGGGTGTTGTTTCTCTCTCTTTCTCTCTCTTGCTCGCTCTTTTTTTTTCTCCTTCTTTGCTCCCCCTCCTCCTTCTCCTCCTCCTCCTCCTTCTCCTCTTCCTCCTCCTCCGCTCGGCTGTCCCTCCCTCCCTCCCCTCCCACCCCCTGGCACCACACTACACCTCCTCTGGGTGGCTTTTGGCCGTGTCCGGAGTGTGTCTAATTCCCGGGCGGCTCGCACACCATCTAGTGAGGAGGCTAGCGCGCCGGCGAGTGCGGGAGGAGGCGCGGCCGCGACGGAGGCGAGCGGCGGCGGCGGCTGCGTTTGCAGCAGCAGCAGCAGCAGCAGCAGCAGCAACAGCGGCGGTAGCAGCCTAAGCAGCGCGGGGCGCAGCAGCGGCCAGCGGCCCCCGGGCTCGCGCGCGTTGCCAAGCGGCCGTTTCCTTAGCAACCCCGCCCGGGGACTGGGGATGCAGCGGGAAAGGGAGGGGGGAGTGAAGGAGAGGGGAATAAAAGAAAGAAAAGGGGGAAAAAAACAATAAAAAAAAAGGAGGCGGTATGTCACAGTGATGCCCACTGGGGCGAGAGGAACGGTGCTTTGCAGACGGAACCCGTCCTCGCGCTGTCAAATGCACTCGAGTGATGCTTTTTTGCTTAGAAAAGTCTCCGTGGCGGGGCTAGGGAATGAAGAGCGCGTCGCGGCGCTAGACTTTTCCTTGTCTCAGGGCGGTTTACCTCTGGAGGCACCCCAAGTTTAAAGTCCTCCAAGTTGTAGTGGGCGCCATCATGACGCGGGGGACTTGGAGGAGCTCTTGTTTATTTTGTTTTCCAACCTCGCTGGGCGATCGCACTACGGTTGACAAACAGGCCACTAGTTTTCTTTACTCTCCCCCCCCCCCCCCACCCCACGCCTATATAGAGATAGAGAGGGAAGGAGGGAGGGCTGTTTTTGAGGGGCCAAGTGGGGCGCAGGCAAGGCACAACGACTTTCGTAGCTGGTGTGTTTATGGAATCGCTCTGTAAGGATGGGGGGAACACTTTCTACACACACACACACGTCCCCATACGCATGTGGGCTCGAAGTTGTGTGTCTGCGGTCTAGCTGGAGTGTGGATCTACGTGCGTGTGAAAGTGTGTAGTATGCGCGCGCGCGTGCGCGCGGCGGAGCGCGCGAGTCGTGCGCGCGGCCGCACGCAGGCGCGCTGGGAGGGACTGGGCGGGTCGTGCGGGGCTGCAGAGTCGGGAAGAGACCGCAATCAAGGGTTTTAATTGTGTAGCGCCGGGCCGTCCGGTTATGTAAGAGGCAGTTTAACCCCTTGGGGACTGTCTGGCGGAGTGATGCTCGCTGCCCAAGCGAGGAGGGGCAGAGCGATCGTTGGTCGAATTTAAGGAGTCACGGGGTGATCCTTTCCTAACGGCCTCCAAATCGAGCCTGGACACGCTTCTTTCCGCGCTGCAGTCCCCGAGTCCGTCGCGGCCGCTGGGAGCCGCTGTCCCGGCCTAAGGCTTGGGTGATTGCCGGGGACAGGCCGCCCGCTACCCTTCTCGGTCCCTTTTCTACTTGAAACTCATTTCCACATTCAAGATCCTTTCGCTCTTCGGGCCCTTTTACAGATCAATGCGAGACGGAAGGCTGGAGTCAATAGCAGTTACCCCAATCAATGGGGTTCAGTGAAGAGTTTGGGGAAACGGAGCAGGGAAGTGAAGGAAACGAGTAATTAAAAAAAAAAAAGCCCCCACTCCCCATGCATCATCCTCCCCCTTCACTCGGCCCCCTCACCATCCTCCCACTTCACGCGGCCCCCTCACCTTCTTCCCTTCCTCCAGCCCTAGCTCCCTCTAGCAATCTTTCAAGACGGTTTTATTCGCTTGACCCCAGTCCCGCTTCCCTTTGGAGAAAATAAAGCAAAACCTCGCACATCCCTAACTCGTTTTCCAAAATGCTTGCAGGCTCCTCTGGCAAAGCGCACAGAAGCAATAATCTCTGCAGGGGTCAGCATCCGGCTGCCTCCCCAGACTGAGCTCTTTAAGAGGCAGGCAGGGAGTCGTTTTGCTTGGCAGTGGCGGTGCTCAGAGTGATTTTTATCACCGTGCTGGAAGATGTATGGGGAAAAGGAAGGGTTCCCATCACCTGTGACCACCCTGACTGGCTATTAGAAGAGCCCTAACCAGCACCACTCCCCGCTGCACTGACTCTTCAAGGCTCAGCAATTAACCAAGACGTTCTCAGCAGGAGTTACTGAGGTTATTAGTATTCAAGCTTAACTCTCAAATCCTGCTAGGAAATTGAGAGTGCAGTAGTATTCCATCGCATTTTGAAACATCAATAAAATGTTAGTCATTTGCGGATGAATGAAAACATTTTCTTTACCGTCTGGTATGCTAGGGAAATAATTGTCAAATGACAGACTCTTGCTAATATTGGTGCCAAATACCTAGATAACACTGTCATCTTGTTAACTGCGTTTTTCTTTCTCGCATGCTACACTGATGGATAAAGCTTAAAATTATCTAGGGCAAGTCAGGGGATTAGAAGAAATGGCACTCAGATACACGGGGAAAGCAATGTAGTATTATTTAGTATTTTCTCTAGAAATGATTCTGATTACATTGAAGAGAAGCAGGAAGCACAGCTTCCGGCATTGTGAGTCAGTGTAGTGTTATTTTATGCAAGGATGGTGTGCCAACGTTTTCTAGTACAAACTATGAAAAGCATCCTTTTGTAACTGCTGTTTCGCTGGACATCTTAGGGCGGGGGATGGGGGATTTTTTTGTGACCAGGGATGGAGCTATGCAGCAGTTTTAATATGTACAACAACCCTTCAGGCTTGTAAAAAGGAAACTGGAATCACTTCTATTTAAAGGCGAAGAGTTTGCTTGGTTTTAGTTTTTATATCAACTTCCATTCACTGACCACAAAGCTCTTTACCCTCACAAAACCTTCCAAAGGAAGTGCTAAGTAAGGCTAGTATGCAGACTCATGGATTACTGTTTATGTATGCATCACTATTAACCTGAGTGCAAGAATATCCAGTGGAGCAGCCCTTATCCATAAGTATTTACCCTGTCCTCCTGACTAGAAAGGAAAATGGTTTTGAAAGCTTGTATGACCTTCTTTTCCTCCTCAACCTTTCAAAGTGCATGTGTGTCTTAGAGAATTTTACAAGGTTTTCAAAATTTGCCTTTTAGGTCCTAGATTTCTTCCATTTAGCTCCCGTGGCTCCATCTGAGGAAAAAGCCAACACAAAACACACCTTCTTCAAGCTGAAATAGCACTGATTTTTATCAAGAAGAATAGGTACACAAAATTGCCTTTTTTTTTAAATTTTTTTTCACTTTTGAGATGACTAAGGTAAGAATGGACTAGACTAGTTCCTTGGCGTGAACTGACATCCAAGAAAAAAAAAATAAAATCACTTTTTCTTGAATCATGAAAAGTCAATGTGTAATTTTTGATGAAATGGGTTAACTAATAAGGGGTTTGGAAGGAGAAAGACAGAGTCTAACAATGATAGCTGTTATCTAGATTCCTTTATACACTCTTACTCATGCCCTATGGCCTCGGAGTATTAAAAAAGTAATAGTATAAGGAATTTATTAAACTGAGTTTAATAAACTTGGTATTTGAGAGTATAAATGACATTGTTATTCTGAAGTAAATTAGAGCAGAAATTCCACTGGTTATTTTTTCCCCTAAAACTGAGAGTATGTACACAGATACCACCTTCATGTTTTTACTCTCTAAACATGAGAAATAGTAGGTAATACGGGTTCGATGACCTAATGAAAAGAACTAAGGAGAGCACTTTGTAATTCCTGAAACAGTAAATCAGGGGGCCCTTGATTTAAATATTCCTACTTGAACCATACTGTATTCCCTCTTTGAATTAAGATATTTTAAGGAAGGATCCCTTTCTCAATTCACACCTGCCTATAGATTTGAATTGAGAAAAGGATGATTTTTAAGTAATGATTTGTAAGTAAGTGTGAGAACTACAAATTATAGGAATAACTAATGTAGAAGGGAGCAGGAGGGTTCTTGGGGGGAACTCCTCATGTATAGGAAAATTTTTATATTTCAGCACTTTTAACATTTGGGACCTGATAACAATTCTTTATTATTTGGACTGCAGTATTGCATAGACATGTTATAGCTACTAGAAAACAAATTTTTAAAAAGTGTGTCTCTCTCTGTTGCTATGTTAGTTCCCCATCCCAACCCCCATCCCTAGAAACACAGTAGTCTGGAACTGATTAAGCAATTTCTCTGATGTATGTCTGTATTTTATTTGAATTCTTAGGTACAAAAACAGCTCCACATCGTCATCAATTCATTCTCTATATTTATCTGCTGTGTGATTGAGTGGTCCAGTTTGCAAGAATGTAATGAACTTAATAACTGAACATAAACATCTTTCTTTCAATTCACCATGGAAACGCTCTTATTAAATTCAGAGTAAAATTGATGGTTCTGATTTTTTTTAAAGAAATTGTCATTTGTGGTTTTCAAGTAAAACTGCAAGTAGAGGGTGAGCTTTTGGTACCATAAGATAACTTATACAGAACTTTGTGTTCTGTTTTGTAGGGACATATATAAAGCATAAGACTGAATTTTAGTGAAAATAATGAAAACAGTAATTTCCAATTGAATACCTTTATAACATAAATCATCTACTATACTTTAGTTATTACATATAATATTTTTACTATTAATACAACCATTTACATTGTCAACCTTGTGAGGTAAACTGAATCATAAAGACATCAGAAATTGAGATAGGATAGCAGGGGCATTGCTGTTTGAAAATTAGATGCTGAAACAAGCAACTAGAGATCCTTTGAGAGTTTTCAACAGGCTCGTTGTGTGGACAAGAAATGCCAAGAGAGAGCAAGTCCAGGAAGAAGAGTTTAGGCAGTAAATTCATTGGCTTGAAAATGACGAGATATTTTTGGCAGGTGTTCATTGTTCAGGAGTTTAGGACTATTTGGCTGTAAATCAGGAATTTATGGGAAATCGGTTTCTCAGTTCTCAGTTCTGAGGTCATGTGGGTGATAATCATCATTCCATATCACTCAGGCCCATTTTAGATTGAAATCCTTTCACACTGTTAATGCCAGCTTTGATAGG